TATATATATATATGAAAAAAGAAGAAAAAGCAGTCGACGGGAAAAGTTTGTTTCCAGTTTCTTACAAAAAAAAAAAATGACGATTGTGGACAATGGTTTCACTTAACAACCATGGTGTTCACTTAATAACCGTTGGTTTGCTTAACGACTATGACGATTCAATTAACACCTACAAAAAGTCATTAAAATCAGGACCTGCTTAACAATTGACACAACTTGCGAGCATAATTCTGGCCTTAATTACAGTTGTAAATCAAGAACTACCTATCTCCTGTCAATTATAGAGAAAAAGATTCAATACACAGCAAAGCTTTAGGGAGAGAGGAAACCCTGTTACTCCCTCAAGCAACCCCACTTTAAATTAAGACATGGCCAGTAATGGCCCAGTTTTTCTCAATTGACATGTTTTTTGTTCTGTTTAGGACTAAACCATTCCCTCCAACAGCCACAAAGCCAGTGAGGTAATTGCACAGAATTCTCCACCTTCCTTTCTATGGTGGAACAGAACACCATATCATGCCCAACTCGTCGCGGTCAACTCACCGTGGGACAATTCAACAAATCTTCTTCTTCTGCCATGTCCGTCATTGGGCGTTGGCGATCCTATTTTTATCAACACGAAAGCCGCACGAAAAAGTGCTGTTGAGTTTTGCCCAAACCAGTCCCTTAGATTTTAAAGCCATGATCAGAACACAAAATACAAGCTGGACGGATACAACCCTCACCCTGTCAAAGACCTTGGAGTACTCATCTCAAATGATCTAAGTGCCAGAGCTGACTGTAACAGCATTGCTAAAAAAGCATTAAGAGTTGTTAACCTAATCTAATCTTGCATAGCTTCTTCTCCGGTAATATTGAACTGCAAACTAGGGCCTACAAAACTTTTGCCAGACCAATTCTTGAATACAGCTCATCTGTCTGGAACCCGCACTGCATATCGGACATTAATACAATCGAACGAATCCAGGGATATTTCACGAGAAGAGTCCTCCACTCCTCTGCTGGCAACAGAATACCTTATGCCACCAGACTCGAAGTTTTGAGCTTAGACAGCTTAGAACTTCACCGTCTTCGGTCTGACCTAAGCATAGTACATAAAATCATCTGCTACAATGTCCTACCTGTCAATGAATACTTCAGCTTCAACCAAAACAGTACAAGAGCACACAATAGATACAAACTCATGGTAAACCGATCCAAACTAGACTGCAGAAAATGCAACTTCAGCAACAGAGTGATCAATGCCTGGAATGCACTACCAGACTCTGTGGTTTCTTCCCCAAAACCCCCAAAACTTTAACCTAAGACTGTCTACTGTTGACGTCACCCCATTCCTAAGAGGTCTGTAAGGGGAGCGCATAAGCGCACCAGCGTGTCTACCGTCCCTGTCCTAATATTTTCTTTAATTCATATCCTTTTCATGTATTTATAATTATGTTTACACTTGTATCTGTCATAAAATACATGCTTGACGAAAATAAAATAAATTAAATTAAATGATGAAGTTCTTCTTCTGCCTGAACCTCGTTTGCCTTCAATCTTTCCTTGGAGGATTGAGTGAACGATGCCGTATTTTTCCAGGTGTAGCATCACATGTCCGGAAATAGTCTAACTTTCGCTTTTTAATGGTTTTTATTTATTTATTTATTTAATTAATTAAATTTCTATACCGCCCTTCTCCAATAGGACTCAGGGCGGTGCACAGCCTAAGTAAAAACAGAGCATACAAAATTTAAAAACAGTATTAAAATAATTAAATATTTTGGCCGTAATTAAAACAACCCAATTTAAAATCAATTTAAAATTTAGCTCAAGCCAGCCCAGCTAGTTGAAATAAATAAGTTTTCAGGGCCCGACGAAAAATCCAGAGGTCTGTTATTATCCGTAACTCTGGGGGAAGGTTGTTCCAGAGGGTAGGCGCCGTCACAGAGAAGGCTCTCCCCCTGGGGGTCGCCAGCCGACATTGTCTGGCGACAATGATGACAATGATGATTTTCCTTGGCTTTCCCAGGCGGGTTATTACCTCCAAAAGTTAAATTAATTTTGACGGAACTGTGGCCAATTATAATTTTTTAAAAAAGAAAGTCAATCCAGAAATCCAAAGAGTTACAAAAATGTTGATGAAAACATGGTCGCCAATTAAATCGTTATGAAACGATTTAATGAATACAGCATGGAATGGCCCTGCGGCGAGTTGACTACGGTGAGCTGGCCGTGACGAATCATCATGGACCCTTTTTATGGACTCCAATTTTCTAGGGATCTTGAAGGGCAGCTAACGCTCAATTTGTGAGGGCAATAAAACATCTTTTTTTCAAATCAAACAATGATAGAAGAAAACCTATGTCTATCACGTATTTTTAAAAGACTGTGCATGTCCTCTCTCTCTTTCTCTCTCTCTCTCTCTCTCTCTCTCTTTCTCACACACACAAGGAGCCTTGGTAGTACAGTGGTTTAATGCACCCTGTAATTAACACAGCTGCCTGCAATTTCTGCAGGTTCGAATCTCGCCAAGGCTCAAGGTTGACTCAGCCTTCCATCCTTTCTAAGGTAGGTTAAATGAGGACCCAGTTTGTGGGGGCAATAAGCTGACTTTGTATAAATATACAAAAGTATGAAGGCTATTGCTTAACGCATTGTAAGCCGCCCTGAGTCTCCGGAGAAGGGCGGCATATAAATCAAATAAAAAAAAAAAAACACACACACACAGATGAATTTGGAATTCCAATCTGCAGAAGCTGGATTAAATCCATCTTCTGCTTCCCCAGCACAGAATGCCCGAAAAGGTGACCCACATACTGTAAATTTGCACTAACAATAAGAACTCAGCTGGCATTTAATCCACTCCTTGTTATTATCTCCAGGGTGCAGAAATGTTCAAATGTGCCTTTACTCGTTCTTCAAGTACTTTACAGCTTCATTTCCCCAGAGTGGATGCATGATGCATTTTCTTAAGTACTTAGAAGCATGGCCAAACTGACAAAAAAAAAAAAATCACAACTCCTTCTTATTTTTAACGCTCAGCAACAATTTGGACTACCAAAGAAAGCTTTGAAATAATAACTGATGGGGGTCAGCTTGTCTCCTAAAGGATGACCTTTAGGTGAGTCAATCACCCCCAAAGCACAACTATCTGAGAAGTGGAAATTTTAAAAAAAGTTCGGGAAAGTTTTCAAGAGCACAAACTTGACCGGATTCAGATCCAACAGTTCCATGATGTCATAAGGGTTAAAAAACAGTTTGCTGACAATCAGATCTAAAATAACCAATTGACACCTGGCAGGAATTAAAAAAAACAATGTTCTTCCAGAAAGTCATCTTAGGTAGAGAAACTGAACTTCAGAGAATCATAGAGAAGGAATATTCTTGATCAGGGGTGTCAAACTCAATTTCATTGAGGGCCGCATCGGAGTTGTGTTTGATCTTGGCGGGGACGGGGGGGGCGTGGCCAAGGTAGACGTGGCCAGCTCAACATCACTTGTGTCAGGGGCGCCTATGGTGGCCTAAGCACTCTGCCAGAGAAAACGGGCTCCCTAGCTCTGTTTTTGGCTGCGACGGCTTCCTGCAACCGTCTGCCAGCCAAAACGGAGCTCAGGAGGGCCGCGGGCTCCGTTTTTGCTGGCAGATGCACCACAGGCCGGTCCTTTGCTGTTTCCAGGCCTGCCCCGCGGACCAGATCTAAGCACCCCATCCAGCCCGCGGGCCTTGAGTTTGACACCTCTGTTCTTGATTATACAGGTACTCCTTGACTTACAACCATTCGTTTAGTGACTGTTTGAAGTTACAAAGGGACTGAAAAAAGTGACTTATGGCCAGTTTTCACACTTATGACCGTTGCAGCATCCCCACGGTCACATGATCAGAATTCAGACGCTTGGCAACTGGCATGTATTCATGACAGTTGCGATGTCCCAGGGTCATGTGATTGCCCATCTGTAACCTTCCCAGCCAGCTTCCAACAACGTAGTCAATAGGGGAAGCCAGATTTGTTTAACAACCGCCCCATTCACTTAACAACTGCAGTGATTCGCTTAACAACCATGGCAAAAAGATCTTAAAATGGTACGCAACTCCCTTAACTTGCTTAGCCATGCAACTTTTGCATTCAGTTGTTGCAAATCAAGGATTACCTGTATGCCATTCCGGACAAAATTAACCCAGTACGGATTCCATTCTGTTCAAAAGGGGGTTTGCTGCTTCTTTTTGTACGTTTTGGCTTGCAATCTAAGTTTAACGCTCTGCCGTTAAATGCAACAAAAGTAAAATTGCAATAAAATCATCTTTGCATCATAATCCCTGCCAGAGGACCCAAACTAGGTAAAGGTAAAGGTTCCCCTCGTACATATGTGCTAGTCATTCCTGACTCTAGGGAGCGGTGCTCATCTCCGTTTCAAAGCCGAAGAGCCAGCACTGTCCGAAGACGTCTCCGTGGTCAGGTGGCCGGCATGACTCAATGCCAAAGGCGCACGGAACGCTGTTCCCTTCCCACCAAAGGTGGTCCCTATTTTTCTACTTGCATTTTTTTACGTGCTTTCGAACTGCTAGGTTGGCAGAAGCTGGGACAAGCAATGGGAGCTCACCCAGTTACGCGGCACTAGGGATTCGAACCGCTGAACTGCCGACCTTTTGATCAACAAGATCAGCGTCTTAGCCACTGAGTCACCGCGTTCCTTACATAAACTCTAACGGAACCCAATTTAAGGGATATCAAAATCAGGGTATCCTGAAAGGAAACTTGCATTGTCCCTCCCCTTCCCCGACCTCGGTCTGCAATTTAGGAATAGCGTTGCCTACCCCAGCCCCCCCCCCCCATCTCAGTGATCTTCTCAAAATTGTTGAAAAGGAACATCACAAAAGGACGGATAGAGAGAATCCGTCTGTTATGTGGGCACAACGACATCCAGAAATGGAACCAAGGGTAAAGTTTTTTCCACACAATAAAGCACAGCTAATTTGATTTTAGCAACAACAAGTCACAAATAACATTAAATTTGACCTACCTCAAACGATAAGCCTTGGTAGAAACATGTACCTGTGAAAGAAGAGAAACAAAATTGGGTTAGAAGGCGTAAAATCAACATGTTGAATGAGAAGTACTATATAAAAACTCGGGGAGTTAATGGCCCATCTGACAAGGCAGCCCAATTTGTCACAAACATTTCTACATCTGCTGCGTCTAAAAACAACAAACAAACTGGCACGTCCCCTCAGTTTCACTGTGTCGTTCTTCCTCTACCGGTAGTCCTCAACTTACAACTGTAATAGAGCCTGGTATTCCTGTCATGTCACGACGGACATAAAGTCGAGACACTTGTGTGACTAGAACTGATTTTATGTTCTGCCCCAGCTACAGGTTCCAAGAAGTGTGGCACACACACACAGCTCCAAAAACTCTGTTTAATACAAACAGACCCCTTTCGAAATGCAGGCTTTAACCACAAATGTCCTTATCAGCCTGCTATGAATTACAGAGATTAAACAAAGTCCGACAAAAAATGCTCTGTGTAGGACCAAACGTTGTTCCCGGCAACATTTGCCAGTTGTGTGCAAACTTAAATAGGCTAAGGGAGTGGCCAATTAGCCCCAAGCCTTACTCTTGAGGAGACCTCCTTCTGAGGAGCCACTCCTGCCTTTTGACAGCCCTGCGTGCTCGAGCATTGAGAAGAGGCTCCTCCACTTCACTCTCTTCACTTGAAGGAGCCTCTGGAGGTTCTGAAAGCTCTGGCTGAGTCTCTGCCTCTGGCACCACATCCTCTTCAGCCTCCTCGCTGTCTGAGTCGAGCGCTGGCTGCACTGGCTGCTGGCGCGACACCTCACCAGCCTCCTCGTCGTCGTGATCAACCACAATCCGCTCAGGCTGCTGGCGGGCCACAACATTTTATGATTTTTTTGCAGCAGTCATGAAGCAAACCTTATTGTAAGTTGTGGTTACCTAAGCATACAACCAGTGGTGGGTTTTTACCAGTTCGGCCCGGTTTGGGAGAACCGGTAGCGGAAGCAGCAGAAGGTTCCACCCACTCGCCCGGAACATCATCACGGACGCTCTGCGCATGTGCAGAAGCACCGTTCGGAAGCAAAGCACTCACAGTTCCGAACCGGTAGCGAAAGTAAGTGAAATCCACTACTGCATACAACATTACAACAAGCCGTAAAAGTGAGCTGGTGCCAACAGCTCAAAATACAATCATGTGACCACGGAAGTAGGTGCAGCTGAATTCCAAAGCTGGGTCCCAAGTAGCTTTTGGGGGATTGGGGTTCCATCGTAAGGTCAAATGGTCACTAAGCAATCAGCCATAAGCTGAGGACTACCTGTACTTAAAGTCTTCCTTGAGCCTCAAAGGTGCTTTTTCAAAAGGCAACTGGATGCTTTTTTCCTTCCTTGAGGAAGAAAAATAAGACGTTTCGCTTCTCATCCAAGAAGCTTCATTGGTTCTGGCGGGATGGTGGGGCCTATGGAAGGATTAGTTCTGACAGGATGTATCATATTTCTTTGCAGTCATCTGGTCATTTGCACTCTCTTTGAGAGCTGTTAAGGCCACTTGGGGGTTTATCTGTGTCTTCTGCGTCATCTAAATCAGGATGCAAAGAAAAGCAACTAAAATGATTAGAGGCCTGGAGACTAGAATATATGAATAACGGTTGCGGGATTTGGGTTTGGCTAGTCTAGGGAAAAGAAGGACCGGGGGGACATGATAGCAGTATGTCAGTATTTGAGAGGCTGTCACAAAGAGGAGGGAGTCAACTTATTTTCCAAAGTACCAGCAGGCAAGACAAGAAACAATGGATGGAAACTCCAGTAGTTGTGGGTGCTTCATCACTGGAGGTTTTCAAGAACAGATCAGACAGTCACTTATCTGAAATAGTATAGGGCTGTGATGGCGAACCTGTGGCACGCGGAGCCATATTGGTGGGCATGCGAGCTGAGCTCCAGTGCACCAGCTGATTTTGGGGCCTTCTGGGCCCACCAGAAGTAGGGAAACAGACTGTTTCCTGCCTCCGGAGGGCCTGGGGATGTGTGAGGAAGGCCCTTTTTGCTCTCCCCAGGCTCCAGAACCTTTCTAGGAGCTTTGGGAGGGCGAAAACGGCCTTCCCCACCCCCCCAGAGGCCAAAAAAAGCTCATTTACCAACTTCCGGTGGGACTGGAAGTCAGAAAATGGGCCATTTCCAGCCTCCAGAGGGCCTCCGTGGGAGTGGGGAAGGCCGTTTTCATCCTTCTCAGGCTCCTAGAAAGGCTCTGGAGCCTGGGGAGGGCGAAAAACAGGCCTACCAGGCCCATCGTGCCAAAAGCGAGGGGAGCATGGGGGGGGTGTCACGCGCGCATGCACAGGGGTGTAGAATTATGGGTGTGGCATGCGCACGCGCAACAAACACCCTGCTTCCCCTGCTTTTGGCACACGATGGCAAAAGGGTTAGCCATCACTGGTATAGGGTCTCCTAATTGAGAAGGGGATTGGACAAGCTCTTCAAGGTCCTTCAAGTTCTATTCTGATTGACTGGTTGTGGAATCTCCTTGGAAGAAAGGGCTGTATTGTAGACAGGAGATATGTGGTGTCTTATCCCTCCCCCTCTGTTGAGGGAGGGGTGCTCAGTGTTAACATAAATGACCTTTTTTACCCCTCTTTCAAACCAGTGTTGTCCTCCTTCTCCTGGAAAAAACAGTCCAGTTGCCTTTTGAAAAAGCACCGTTGAGATAACTATGACCTGGATGACTGAGAATCTCCACAGACATTGTTCCTTGAGCCATTCTCAACTACCAAGGCCTTCATAACTATTTCCATGTAATGTTTTTGGCAACAATCTGGCCTTCATTCTGGACATCAAATCCTGGTTTAATTTGCAACTTATAATATTCTGGTGATCTCCCGAGTGCTAGCTGGCTTAGCATTTTAAAATCAACTGGCTAGATCCTTGCAAACCTAGTTTATTATACAGGACATGCATCTGGATTGCTCCAGACTCTGGAGCTATCTTAAGGATTGGGGCATTTCCTACAACACCAGCTGGTAACCTTTTCATAACTGGATGATGCCATTGGGAGGGATGGAGCTGAAATCTAAAAATTGTATTGGATTCTTTCTCCTGCTTTTCAGCTACATTTTTTTTTTCAAGCTCTATTGAAACGGACAAACAGACAAACCCTTTGTCTGAAATGGTACAAGGTCCCCTGTATTGTGGTCCATCAGCAGCCTGCAGAGCTGGCAGCGGAGTCGGACAGTGAGGAGGCTGGGGAGGACAATGGGCCAGTCGTGGAGTCAGGGAAAGGCCCGGACAAGGGCTCTACATCGGAGGCAGAGATGGGGCCAGGGCCATCTGGGAGGGATGCACGGACTCCGGAGACTCCAGAGGCAGACAGCAGACAGGCAGAGGAACAGGAGGAGCCTGTTCCTAGTGCCCGCGTGCGCAGAGCTGCCAGAAGGCAAGAGCAGCTAAAGCAAAAAGGACGACTCAGGAGTAAGGCCAGGAGATGATTGGCCCCTCCCATAAGGCTTAAAAGAGCAGCAACGGCTCTTGGGTTCTTTGTAGGAAAACAAAGTTGCTACATTTGTTTCTTGTCGGTGTCTCTGTGGGGCTTTGCCAAGAAAAGCCTTTGGCAGGGTGCCAAAGAAGACCAAGGTTTGTGATAAGGCCGAAGGACTTTTTCTGAAGGATTTGTTTTGGAATTAATTTGGACTAAGCCGAGAATGAAGTAATTCTCAGCTGTTTTAATAAAATATGTTTGTTTAGGACTGATTGTGTCTGGTGATAACTACTTGGGCCTAGGCCACAACACCCTACTCATGCAGGGGGTTTGACTAGAAGACCTCCAAGGTCCCCTCCAACTCTTATTATTCTGTAGCCCAGGGTTAAAATGAAGTCCTTGGTGCTCCCTGAGCTTGGTTGTTTTCTTGCAGGCATTTCATTACCCAAATTTAGGTAACGTCATCAATTCAGATCTTTTTTTAGGATTCTACTACATGTACATCACTACAGATTTTTTTTGCCCATTGGGGGCATGTGATCAGCGAAGCTAAATTGTCCTTTAGTTCAATTTTGAAATGTTTCTGAATTACTGGTGCACAGGAGAAGTGGCTCATAAAACAAAGGAAGTTCTGCATCATTTTATCCAATTACCAGACCAAAAAATTGCCAGTTCTTGCAATATTGTTGTTCTCCAGGCAAGGGTAGAAGTCTTTATTTTTCCCAACATCGGCTATATATTTTCTCACATAATCAAGACCATTAATAAAATTGATGCCACATATTATGAGCTCTTCATTGCTACAGATCGTGCGTCTTCAGGGTACCTCGTAGGCACTCTTAGATGTTACAGCTTCACTACATCTTCCAAAATTTTACAAGTGAAGGTAAGAGACATCGGGGGTGGCAACTTAAAAGCAAAGCATCTTTCATGCAGAATAAGTCACATCAGGCATTTTTACCCCCCAAATCACTGTGAGTATCCCTTACTTTTTATTATTTTTATTTTTTGCTACCTATTTCTCAAATATAAGGAGCGGGACAAGAAATCAAACTTCTTGACTTTCAAAAGAATACAAAAATGCTCTTAGAGAGACCAAAACTTCTTTGGTTACTATTGTCCCAAAGGTGCATTTAAAAGATGACATGGATTTTCTTGGGTTTTTTTTTTTTTCCTTGAAAACATTTTGCTTCTCATCCAAGAAGCTTCTTCAGTTCTGACTGAAAGGTGAGAAATGGAAGGATTTATATTCCTTGCAGTCATCTTGTCCTTAGCTCTCGTTGAGGCCACTTGGGGACATATCTTTACCTTCAGGTTCACGTGAATCATGGAGTTTTCTTGGGAATCCTAAAAGGATTGTGTTGTAGACAGGAGATAGGTCGGATATGATGTCGTGGCAACATGTATCCATTAGGATACTTTGCAGCATCTTAGAATCATAGAATCCTAGAACTGGAAGGGCCCACGGAGATCTTTTAGTCCAACCCCCAATGCTATCTCCTTTCAGAAATCCTTTCAGCAGTCCCAAAAAGGTTGCACACAGGGGTGAAATCCAGCAGGTTCTGGAGAACCA